TCAAAGTATTGCTGATGGTTTGTTGCTGCTGGCAGCAAGTGATGATTTCTGATTAATTTAATTTGATACTCTATGTAGATCTTACGAATAAACAAATTGTTAAAAATTACGTTTTTATTTAAACATAGCGAAGTTTTGATCTTTGGGCTACTTTAGGCTACTAAATCTGTGAAAAATGGCGATATCAGGTTCCAAGATGTGGGCAACACTGTTCCTTGGGCTGCTCTAGCCACTTACCATGAGGTGGACTGTTAATTTGTTTTTTGCAATTTTTTTTTTAAATAAGAGAAGGAAAACTAGCATACAACTTATCTGATGGTAAGTAATCAGCGTTGCTCATTAACATTTGCAACACCAGCGGAATTATAGGTACATTGACGGCCGGTGAAATAAATACTTTAAAATACTTCAATAAACCTGATGCGGCGTAGGAATATCCACTACCCCATTTCTTCTCGTTGGTATTGTAAGAGGTCATAGAGGGAAAGTGAAACAAGAGACAAGTGGCAGCATATTTCCATTAACGACTGAAAATAATAAAAAAACTGATGTTGTTAAAATTATCCTATGAGGCAATCTATGGGAGGCCACATAAGAGGGAAAACAGTAGACTTTTGATTAGATGGAATAAAACCTGAAGCTTATTAAATTTAACTTTCTTAAAATAATGTTTTCTTCACAGGAGATTCCAAAGCTACCATCCGTGCCTATAAATACGCTGTAATGGTACTATGAAATATAATTAAGCCATAACTGAGCCCATTTTGTTAGCTGTAATGCTTAAATGAGGTGCTTAGCGACACGGAATTTTAACACAGATTTTAACAGCTTCTTTGAAACGTTGTAGCTTATGTAAAATATTTCAACTGTTGTTCTTAGGTTTATTTTTTCATTTCCTTTGAAATTTATTATTATACTTTGCCGTAATATTTCATTCTGCATGAAAACATTTAGAAACAAAATTATGAATTTCTTAATATTATGGAATTAGAAATTTGTACTAGCTTTAGAGTCGGACCTGTAATATATTTATATAAACGATGTCTTCGCACCGACATCTGAAGCTCTTATTACGTGGGAATTATTATTTTTAGTTATTTGAAGTCGGCTTTTACTTTTTATAAGTCTAATTATTATCTAAATATTAATTTTTCTTAACAGATAAAGCTTTTCTTTGATGTCAACATCCTTTCCAATAAGGTAAAAGATTTATTATATCTTCGTTTCCTTTTTCATCAGCCTTCAAAAGTCCCCAGCTGGTAATTGGCTTCCCCATGACGACAAGAATTTTAAACGAGGTAGAGCCACGCTGCGGATATATTATAGTTTTAGCACGAAAGGGTCCAGTCAATCCTTTAGGGTAGGGCACCCTCTCACAGAATACCGACGTAAAATAGCAGCTTAATGCAGCTGTATTTTGTATACTAAGTGTACAAAACCGGAGACCTTTTTCTTTGGAAACGAGACATTCTTTTTAAGTTCTTAGGGGTGACAAACATTCTGCATTGTGATTCTTAATTGAGGATAGGTGTAGATATCTATGGGCATCTACTTAACCATCAGGTGGACTGTGTGCTTATTGGTCACCCGTATTCAATAAAAAAATAACTATACTCAATATGTTTTCCATCGAATTTATTTATTTTGTGATCACAGACTGGTAAAAACAGATATCTGCCACTTTTGGCTGCTGCCCGTTGTCCACAATCTATTTAAAGCCATTAGATTTTTCGGCTCTATTTCATAGTCACATCATACAACGCCCTTGGAATGAAATATCTTCTTATGCAACCACCAAACAACAATTTTGAAAATGCTCTTTCAGAATATTATCTATAATTTTATTATAAAATAATTTAGGCCTTCTCAAAAATGTGCCAACTGGCACGAATGACTTGATTTTACTTACCCGCTGTCCAGGCGAATTATAACGCACAGCCGATTTTCCATCCATTATTGCATCAAGCGCCGCTAAAAGCATTGTTGTTAAAGAACAGGGTAAAGATCCTGTTAGGGTTGGCATGAAGTTTGCTACATCCTTTCACATCGTTTCTAGGATTTTAAATACAAATATCAGTGAAAAACAAGTACACATACCACCTAATGATAAGTGGATGCCTACACCTACCTGTTATAAACGCTGAGAACTTTGATAAAATATAAAGATTGAAAGAATCTTCAAGTCTTGTCACTCACTTTCACGTATCCTATCATAAATCAATGCTTACACAAAGAATTGTCTTTGATTTTGATCGTAAAATCGTTGAAATTCAATCCGTTTGTGTCTGAATAATTTTCTGTGTTGTGCTGATGTAATAGAACCCACCCATTTCTTACTATGGAAAAATATTCATAGCCTACGATAAATAAAGGCTTACCATCTCGACAATATCAAATAAAATATCCAGCACCTAGTCTCTAATACTTGCAACGCCAATCCACCTATCAAATGTAGATAACACCAAATTCTCCTTATAACAGATGTACGACATGTTTAGCTGTAAACTGTTATGTGCTAATAAAGAGGATATAGCATATGTTATCTTCAGTAAATTGTTTCTTTACAAAAAATAGAAGTCACCATGATTGAAATACGTTGAAGAAACATTAACGTCCTTAAGAAAGACAAAAAAGTACCATAATAAATTTAATTTAATAAGCATCAACAGTAAATCTTCAAATATTCTTGTTTACTGCCTGTCCTTGCGAACAACATTTGGGTGGTTCTCCGTGAGAACCACATACGTGAACTTGACTCGGCTTAGCTTGTGTTTTGCGAACTTGATCATCTTTCGATTGAGCGTAATCAGCTGCAGTCTTTTGGGTGCATGTAGGTTTGCAGTTGCATTTCTGAAATAATTTCATTTATAAATCTCTTGGTAGTTTAAAGAGTTAAAGCTTTTTATTGCACAGCAAGGAACTAGTAAGCCTTTTTCACTCTTGTATCTATGCTTGAGCACCTCGGGAGTTTTAAAAAAACGAAGTACCTATATAATAAAAACATGCGTGAGTGTCGTGGAACACTCGGTTGGAACTAAGTTCCTTTCGTAGTTATTTATCATAATATTTCTTTCATGGCAAGATAAGAAAAAGTGCGAGGGAGATAGATATTATTCCATCTCGCTTCCTTATAGCGTCCAAGGTCGTACCGTAAAACTTTTACACTTTTTTTCGCCTTGCCCCCGTCCACCAATTCCGTACCGTGCGATAAGGAACTTCATTTCAAAAAGAGAGTAACGTCATAAAAATTACGGAATCAAAAGATACCTCGACTTTTATTAAATATTTTTAAAATAATTTATAAAATAGTATTAATGTGGCTATTTTTAAGAGTTAACTTATTAATTAGTAAAATAAATTTTATATTATGTACTAGCTGTTCCCCGCGACTTCACCTGCGTGTTATTTGGGGTTTTAATTTTTTTTAATTTGTCACCCTATCGTATAAATATAGGTATAAAATATAAAATTAACTTCCGCATGTATGAAAGATCATTAGAGAATACCTGGACTGATTTTGATGAACTTTTTTGTATGTGTAATGTGGGTCGATGGATGGTTTATATTTACAATTCGGCCAGTAGGTGGCGTTATTGTCGAGATCCAGAAACCACCCTTGCAAAGCCGGGGCCGATTATATATATATTTTCGGCCTTAATTTACGGCCTTATAATCGTTGATAGCCTCTTACCAGAATTAAGTATTAATTATGTCTATATAATAATAATAATAATAATAATAATAATAATTTATTGCTTTAAAAGAGGTAGTAAGTTGTTACAATATTGTTGGGTACTCTCTTTTAAGTAAATAGATACCTGTAGTAGAGGGACCCGCTCTTCCGTAGTACAATTATATTACTACATATGACATATATTAATAATATATGTCTTGGAGAAAGAGAAAACTTTTAAGCGTTTCTTAAATTAACATTAATTTTTATGAGTAACGCGTTAACGTTAGTCATTTTAATATTGCAACGAATGTAATTTTCAAATTGAGAAAGGCTAAGCCTGGTAAGGTATACCACTAGTTGTGAAAGTCAAAAGATTCGCCATAACCGGGACACTTTTATGACGGATTTGTGTACCACATTGTGTAGAAAATGTTTTTGGCATTTTCTTATAACTTTCACTGTATACAAGGGGCGAAATTAAGCGATATATTTTACTGAGGCGCAGTCTTTTAACATAGTGGGTATCAAAATAAAGTGTTTATTTCTTTCGAACTTGAATATCATATATTTTTTTATGTGTTAGATCAATGCTGCAGTGGCACGAATTGGACGGCTTGACCCGGGAGGGACCACGCTTTCACAGAATACCAGCGCGAAATCGAAGCTTATTGTTGCTGTGTTTCGCATGGTAAGTGTAGATATCTACAAACCTTTTTTATCGGGAACAAGGCATTTTATCTCTATCCCCAAGGGTAAATAGCGTCTGCATTTTGATTTTTAGTCAAGAATAGATGTAGATGCCTATGGGCCATAGTATCCTATATTATTTATTTTATACTATATATTTATTTATTACTTTATTACCTATACAAATTAAAACGAAAACAAAAGGTCATAAAGTATTTAGTATAATAAAAAATATTTAGAGTTCAATTACTATCAAATGGACTGTGTGCTCGTTTGTCTTGTTCTTTAAAAAAACATAGATATTTTTAATAAGCGGCATGAAATCAACGATTAATGTTAAATTATTAAGTAAAATATAGTTTATTAAATGATTTTCAAATTTACGTCCTAGGAGTTTTATCTGTGCTTAAATCCAGGAGGCAATGACATGTTAAATCTACTAGCACACGATAATATAAGAAATTATTTGAATTATTTGGAAAAAATGTTGTGAAAGTTTTATTGTATTTACAATAATTCCAAATGAATTACTATGGGTAAGTGTAAAATTAATATGTTTGTGGTTTTTTTCCAGTGGTATGGAATGATGTTAAGAAACTAAAATAAGAAATTTATAAATAATATTTACTGATGCAACATGTCTATTTTAGGGACAGGTTATTCCTGCAATGAAGTCTGCTGCAGTTTTATATCGAAGTTACAATCTTCCGCAGAGAAAAGAAGATATAATAGAGATTCCTCCTCATGCAATCCGGGAAGACCAAAATGTTTAAGAATCAGACGTCGAATTCACAAAGGGGTAATTCAAGAAAAAATATTTTGTCATTTTATAAATATTCTTTACAATATTACATGCTTAAGCTACCGACATTACATCATTAACATCAACATCATTCTTTTGCTGCTTGTCCAGCGAATTAACAATGCCTATACAACACGAATATTTTATACAACATTTTAATCAAACACGAGTTTTTCTAAAATCAACACTAGACCTACATTTTACTAAGACCCCATTTAATGTGATATGTGGTAGTATCCTTCATCTAATCCCGATAGTCCGGCTTATAGAATAATTTCTGGTAAGGTAGACATGGATACCTGTACCCAATTCAAACAATAACGGCTTCAATATGTAGTTGTGTCTTGAAAGCAAAAATATTTTTCATAACATGAAAAAAAAGGCAGTGGCAGAAACGTAGTAGGCAGATAGCACGGACATCCATTTCGTATGATCGAAAAATATCTTATATTATAAAAACCACACAGCAATGCACCTGATGGTAAATGGCTACTGCCACCTATATACTCATCAGTAGGTGAAGGACTGCCGCTATGAGGGTGATTCCTTTAGCTGCGAGATATTCTGGTGCGATTTTTCTGAGAAGGAATCTGGTGAAGTAATGATTTCTCCCGAGGAAGGGCTGCTGGCACTGACAGGGTCGCGGATGTTTGCGAAAGTGTTTCTGTGGCCCTGTATACGGAGAACATGTGCAGCATAGTCGAATAGGTACCACATGGTTAAGTCGATACGGGTCCGACATAACCTGTCCTTGCACCTGCCGTGCGTCGTGTTCTCAGGACAGAAAAAGGGATTTATTATGCTTAAAGTTTTTCTTGAAAAATTTAGTCACTACTTTTACTAATTTTGAAAAGACAATTCCTATATTCTAATTTTACAGAGTCAACGAAATAACATCTATACAAATAAATAAAATTGAAGTGCCTGTTTGTAATGTTAAAATTACAGCTTTTTACTAAATGCATATGAAAGTATATACGGTACTAATAATAAAAATATAATTTTTAAAGTTTTTGCCTGTCTGTCTGTCTGTCCGTCTGTGTGTCTGTTTGTTCCGGCTAATATCCGAAATGGCTGGACCGATTTTGACTGGATTTTCACTGGCAGATAGCTGATGTTACAAGGAGAAAATTAGCCTACTTTTATTTTAGAAAAACAAATAGGGTTCCGCGCAAAAAATTTAAGACCCCAAATAACACGCGGGCGAAGTCGCGGGGAACAGCTAGTACATCGTATAAAATTTATTTAACTAATTAATAAGTTAACTCTTAAAAATAGCCACATTTTATATATTATTTTTTTATTATCTTATCTACCAAGCTATTTCTAATTTGTTGTGTTGTTAATTTGTGTAACATCATGATTGTAAGCTGTTATTTAAAAAAAAAGTCCCGCTGGGTTTCTTGCTGGTTCTTCCCAGGACAGAGGTTTTTTTCCGAAACAGTGGTAATCAAACAAAAGAGTGACTTTCAATAAGTATTATTTATAATCTATATTGAATAAAAAAGTTTCTGTTTCTATTGCATGCCTTAAGCGAAAGCGCAAGGTATGTTCTACTTTCGCCTAAAAATTAAGATTTCAACGTTTTATCGAATAAAATCGTATCTAGCAATCACATTATACATATAGGTAAATGATATAAAAAGCACATTATTAGAAAGATAAATGAACTTATTAATATTTTTGAATTCATCATGTCCCCAAGGCTTGTAAATACGATAACTTTTGAAAATATCAATTGTTTAACTCAACCTATTTTTTAATCTCTTCATCTATCATGTGGGAAGCCAATGAATGTCAATAGGTATCACTTTTTTCATCATAGGTGTCATTTTCATGGGTTTCGAGGATGTTGAAGCCGATTGTGCTGTCGAAATGGAAATCCAATGTGACGGCTGCAATAGGTATCACTTTTTTATCATAGGTGTCATTTTCATGGGTTTCGAGGGTGTTGAAGCCGATAGTGCTGTCGAAATGTAAATCCAAGATGGCGGCTGAAGTAGGTACCAATTTTTTCATCATGGGTGTACTTTTCATGGTTTTCGAGGGTGTTGAAGCCGATAGTGCTGTCGAAATGTAAATCCAAGATGGCGGCTGCAATAGATATCAATTTTTTCATCATGGGTGTCATTTTCATGGTTTTCGAGGGTATTAAAGCCGATAGTGCTGTCGAAATGTATTTAAACTACTTTAAAAATTCCGTATAATCATTTTATACGTAATTTTTTAATGCACTTAAGGCATGCTCAATTGGATTTACCAATTTTTTGTTTTATTTTATAAATTATTATAAAAATATTTAATAAAAGTCAAGGTATCTTTTGATTCCGTAATTTTTATGACGTTACTCTCTTTTTGGAACGATGTTTCTTATCGCACGGTACGGACTTGGTGGATGGGGGCTAGGCGAAAAAAGTGTAAAAGTTTTACGGTACGACCTTGGGAGCTATAAGGAAACTCCCTCGCACTTTTTCTTATCTTGCCATGAAAGAAATATTATTTTAAATGACGCTAATACTATTTTATTTTAAATATTATTTAAAATACATTCATTCAATAATAATATACTACGAAAGGAACTTCGTTCCAACCGAGTGTTCCACGATACTCATGCATGCTTTTTATTATATAGGTACTTCGTTTCTTTAAAACTCCCAAGGTGCTCGAGCATAGATACAACAGTGAAAAAGGCTTAATAGGCCCTTGCGATGCAATAAAAAACCTTCAACTCTTTAAACGACCAAGATATTATTTATAAATGAAATTATTTCAGAAATGCAATTGCAAACCTACATGCACCCAAAAGACTGCAGTTGAATACGCTCAATCGAAAGATGATCAAGTTCGCAAAACGCAAGCTAAGCAGAGTCAAGTTCACGTGTGTGGTTCTCACGGAGAACCGCCCAAATGTTGTTCGCAAGGACAGGCAATAAACAAGAATATTTGCAGATTTACTGTTGATGCTTATTTTAATTAAATTTATTATGGTACTTTTTGTCTTTTTTAAAGACGTGAATGTTTCTTCATCGTATTTCAATCATGGTCAATTATATTTTTTGTAAAGAAACAATTTACTGAAGAGAACATAATATACTATATCACCTTTTTCAGCACATAACAGTCTACAGCTAAACATGGCGTACATCTGTTATAAGGAGAATTTGGTGTTATCCACATTTGACAGGTAGATTGACGTTTCAAGTATTAGAGACTAGGTGCTAGATATTTTATTTGATATTGTCGAGATGGTAAGCTTTCATTTATCGGAGGCCATGAATATTTTTCCATAGTAAGAAATGGGTGGGTTCTATTACATCAGCACAACACACCAAATTATTCCGACACAAACGGATTGCATTTCTACGATTTTACGCGCAAAATTAAGAGCAATTCTTTGTGTAAGCCTATTTTTTCCAACGTGACAACATTGATTTATGAGAAGATACGTGAAAGTAGGTTACAAGACTTGAATAAATAAATAAAGATAAATTTAAAAATGGAAAGATTTATTTTTTACATAACTCTAAAAACTGTGCTAGTTACGCAATTTATTAGTTTATTTCGAGATTCTTGGCCACAGAATAAATAATTGTACTTCTTTTGGCTTTCATAGTCAGTTGGATTCAAATTCTACGAAATACGGACCTGATTGCAAGACAAACTCAAAACAAGCAATTAAACTATAGCCTGGGCAGATTAATTATTTGTTTGTCCAACAAACTCCGCGGAAATATTTAAGCCCTACCACGGACAAGACAATGTCGAATGTAACTCGAAATATTAATGTATTAATGTACAAAATTACTTCTTTTTTTATAAACCATAATGACATAGGAACTTAATTTTCTCATGAAGTTAAGGGGCCACTGCAGTTAAAAGACTTTTGCAGGAAACTTCAATCAAATTAGTCTATAAAAGCGTTGTCACCTTGCACTCCTGTGTGCTTGTATGAAGGGAGAACCAGTACAATTACAGTTGTAAGGCATTATATTTCAATCCTCAAGGGCAACCAAAATTCTCGGTAGTTTTCGCCAAGATCTCCATTGAATATTTGATCATGAGTAATAAAGACCATTAAAACCTCTCTATTTATCCATTGGGTGTTTGCCATAGATGCCATGCTAGCCAAAGCCAAAATATTGACAACCGCAACTTTTCCCTAGCGGTTATCAGAAGACGACGATTTTTTCGCACTGTGACCTCTTATTACTCCCATAAGCCGATATAAAGTAGTGGATATTCTTACAATGCCAGTACATGCTACACTGCTGAGGGCTATTATTCCCGAATATAAAAATAATGTTTACCAGACCCAATTTTGGTCACGGCGGCTAGTCTCAACGGTGACTAGAGTGCCCAAGCACAAGCACAGGTGTACTCTATATTCCCCCACACTTATAGTCCGATGCGATGGGATGGTAATTCGACACGACGGAAAAAAGATAAGGCAGAGAACCAACGGTTCTACGTGCTTTCGGAGGTACGGGGTGGAATACTGCGAATTTCCTAACTTCGGTCCCTACTGAGAATTTCTTGACAGAAAAACCCATTAATTACCATTGATTAATGCGTTATAGAACCATGCTGCAGCTATATTAGTATTATAGTTGTAGCACGAATGGGTCGGATCGACCGGTGAAAAACCACTCTCTCACACAATACCAGCGTAAAATGGGAGCTTGACACTGTTGTGTTTCGAATGGTGAGTGTAAAGAACTGGAGACGACTCATCCGCATTTTGATTCTTTATAGAGGATAGATGTAGATGTCTATGGGTCATAGCAAGCACTTACTGTGTGCTCGTTTGTCACCCTATCCTATAAAAAAGATTGTGATCAGCAACTGCGTTTTTTATAGTAAAGGGGGCAAACGAGCACAAGGCTCGCCTGATGGTAAGTGACAACCACCGCCCAAGAACAACAGCAACACCAGGGTAATGCAGCTGCGTTGCTGGCATTTAAAAAAAGGAGCAAGCTCTTTTCTTAAAGGTCCCTAAGTCGTATCAATCCGGAAAATCACTATTCCACAGAAAGGTTGTGCGCGGTAGAAAACTCCTAGTGGAACGTGAAGTGGTGGACCGGCAAGCATCCAAATGGTGAGGGTGGTGTCGTGAATTTTAAGGCAACGTGCGTTTGCGAAGTTTGGCGGCTGGAATTAATCCGAATAAGCACTTTCCGTGGTAGATGCGAAAACAAATTCAAAGGGATGCAACACCTCTCCGCAGCACCAGTGAATCAAGCCGATAGCAGTGGACTCGGTCGTTGACGCTTTGCGCTGGATCCGGTCAAGTGGAAGGAGCTGACACTGGGGAGCCCAAGCCCAAAGTTGGAAAAAGTATTCCATGTTAGGCCAAACCTGTGCCTTGTAAAGTTGCAGGCGATGTTCTGGCATGAAATACTGTCCCGCTCTGCTAAGCACGCCAAGCTTTTTTGAGGCCAATTAAGCCTTCTCTTCCAAGTGACCACGAAACTGCATGTCAGTCGGTGTCGAGATGTCACTTGATATCTCGACACCGAGGATTCCAATACTTGCTGAGGCAACAAGGGGAGTGCCTTGAAACTGAAGAAATGCGACAAAGGGGTTCTTTTTAGCGGTAAACGCACAAACTTGTGTCTTCTGAGGAATAAACTGGACTAGATTTAGTTGCACCCAATTCGAAACTAAATTCAGCAAACAATCGACTTCAGACACAAGTTTGTTCTGGTACTCGGCGACGTTTTCCCGAGAAATACTGGTACGGCCGGTGTATAGACCATCACCAGTGCTTCAATCTGCATAGCAATTAATGTTACCGGCTTGCAACATATCATTGATATGCAGCTGAAACGGCGTTGATGATAGCACGAAGCCTTATGGAACACCAACATTCATAGGCTTGTAATCGGAGCATGCACCGTCTAGAATACCCTTGATTCTCAAATTTGCAAGAAAGCTGGTAATCCAATTGCACAATTGTGCAATTGGATTACCAAAGCCCATAGGAAGGTAGCTTCGAAAGAAGTGCTTTGTGCCAAACCCGATCGAAGGCCTTCGCAAGGTCCAAACTAACGGCCAATGACGCTCCAACTGAACTGACAACACTGACTCATCAAAGGCCTCCGCCCATCGATGATTAAGGTAAATCAAAAGATCACCAGCTGATCGACCTCAACGAAAATTGTATTAGCCGTCACTAATCAGCTGGTGATCCTCAAGTTACCGCATGAGTTGGCAGTTAATAACAGTTTCCATTATTTTGTAGAACTAGAAGGTGATGAAGATAGATCGGGTGGACGAAAGTCGTCTTTCAAGATTTCATGTACCAACTCTGGAGCACATGTCCTCAGCACAATTGGAGGGATTCCGTCGGGCCCACTCAACTTGTGATATCCAAGAAGAGGAGTGCTTTGCAAACCGATCGCTGTGTGAATCGCACATCCGGCATGGAGCACTCACACCGCGGGATAGTCGGCGGTGTGTTCCCCCCGTCATCTAGAGTCGAGTTGTACGCAAAGAAAGAGTCTAGAAGATCGGTTTTCTCCTTTACGGCATGAGCCAGTGAGTTATCTTCCCTGTGCAGTGATGGAAGAGACGGCACGGAACGGCTGACAGAAGTTCCCTTGGACAGACTTGACGAGAGACCAGAATGCACGGGTTCCCGAAGGTACGCAAATAATTTTCTCGCCAATTCTGCATATGTGCTCTGATTTTGCCTTGACAATGACTCTTTTGAAGGACCTGAAGGCATAATTGTACTTCTTTTTAAGGGCACTGGTGTTTATATCCCGGGACGTTAATATGTCAGCCCTGGTCTGGTAGCACTCCTGCTCGTAGCGTGATGCTAGTTTACAATAAGGGTAGGATGTAAAGAAGGACCGCATCTTATCCCAATCAGTTGACCTACAGTGGCAAACACGGCAGCAACCGCGCTTTCAGCGTCAGTGGCACCACACTCCGGACTAGACAATGGACGGAGAAGCCAATAGGGACATCGACGGAGACCTGATATATGTCCGGGTGAGAGGTCAGCAGAAGGTCCCTCAGCAGAAGATCACCAGAAGGTGAATGACGCTCCACATCTAGAATCCGCGTAGGCAAAGTAACCAGTTGTGTCAGACCATATGCCAAGGCAAAATCATGAAAGATCTCCCCGCATGATTGTTTAAAAGTGGATCAAACCATTCGGCGTGTTGGGTGTTAAAATGGCCGTGGATCACGATATCTGTGAATGGATTCTGCTATAGCAAGGAATCTGTGGTTTTTTTGACGTGGTCGTTGAGTCGATCTGTTTCAGCATTACAGCTATGGAACCTATAGAAGCACCCGTAGACGCGCAGAAGGTCGTCGTTTTCTACGCGTAGCCAAAAGATGGACAGGTCCTAACCTTCAAGACTGCAGCGGCGTCGAGAACAGATGTCCTCTCTGACGTATAAGCAAACTCCAGTCCGAGGCACAAAGGAGTGTTCCAATATGTACCCCGGGTAGGAGAGATACGAAGTATCAGCCGGAGGGGACATCTGCGTTTTGGTCAGAAAGTGCAAGGCCGGCTTCGCCGTCTCGACGTTTAGGATTGAGTAAAGTAGCCTGATGTTGCAGAAATTCACGGATAGCGTGGAAGGGGTCGCCTTGGTTAACAGCGAAAGCTGTCGCGTGGCTCTACCACTGTTAAAACTGCGTTTACAACTACTAGACCAACGAGGCAGTCGTCCTTTGCTAGTTGCCACCGAATTTAAACCCCCAAAAATTTTAGCTATACGTAGAAAGTGTATTTTCAAAATTTATTTCATTTTTATCATATTCAATCTACACTTATTCGACTTGAGCAAAAAGTTAATCCTAATCCAGCCAACGTAACAATTTCTGGATTCAACTTTATATTATTGGAGTTTGAAACTTGTCGCAGTTGCGCCACTGAAAGTGTTTCTGTTATATTGAACAATCGGTTGGCTCTTTGAGTACCTACACAATCAAACGTATGGGAACAAATTCGTTTCACCA